GCTTGTCTTGAGCTGGATGATGGTGGAGAGGAGCCACTTGACCTGTGGGGCAGGAAGGGGGGGGGTGGTACCTCAAGGGGGGAGAACTTCGGGTGTGGTGGGTCCCCATCTGACGTCCATCCATCCCATCAGCCCTTGCTCCATCCATGGGGCCTCCAGGTCTCCTTCCCCTCCCTCCATCTATGGGTCCACCCATGGGTCCATCTACGGGTCCATCTACGGGTCCATCCATGGGTCCATCTATGGGGCCTCCAAGTCTCCACCCATGGGTCCTACAGGTCTCCTTCCCCCCCACCCTCCATCTATGGGTCCACCCGTGGGTCGATCTATGGGGCCTCCAACTCTTCACCCATGGTTGCTCCAGATCTTCTTCCCTCCCCCCATCTATGGGGCCTCCAGATCTCCAGCTACGGGTCCCAACGTCCCCCACGGAAGCCCACCATGAAGAGGGTGACACTGGGGGTGGTGGCATCTCCCCAGGGTTCCTCCCCAACCTCCAAGTGACCCCCGGGTGGTGGCATCTCCACAGGGTTCCTCTCCCCTCCACCCCAAGGGGGGACGTCCCCACGGAAGCCCACCTTGAAGAGGGTGACGGTGGCGCTGTAGCAGACGCTGAGGAGGAAGAGGGTGATGAAGACGGCGATGGTGTCCCAGGGCCCGTTGGTCTTCTCGGAGTCAGTGTGGCAGAAGTCCTCGGGGAGGATGAACTCTGGGGGGAAGGGAGGAAGAGGGTCAGGGTCTGTCCCTCTGTCCGTCTGTGGGGTCTTCTCCACCCATCTCCACCCATCTCCACCATCTCCACCATCTCCACCATCTCCTCCGTCTCCTCCATCTCCACCACCTCCTCCATCTCCACCATCTCCTCCATCTCCACCATCTTCACCATCTCCTCCATCTTCACAATCTCCATCATCTCCTACGTTTCCACCATCTCCACCATCTCCACCATCTCCTCCATCTCCACCATCTCCTCCATCTCCACCATCTCCTCTATCTCCACAGTGTCCTCCATCTCCTCCATCTCCTCCATCTCCACCATCTCCTCATCTCCACCATTTCCACCATCTCCACCATCTCCACCATTTCCACCATCTCCACCATCTCCACCATCTCCTCCATCTCCTCCATCTCCACCATCTCCTCTATCTCCACAGTGTCCTCCATCTCCTCCATCTCCTCCATCTCCACCATCTCCTCATCTCCACCATCTTCACCATCTCCACCACCTCCTCCATCTCCTCCATCTCCATCATTTCCTCATCTCTACCATCTCCACCATCTCCTCCATCTCCTCCATCTCCTCCATCTCCTCTATCTCCACAGTGTCCTCCATCTCCTCCATCTCCACCACCTCCACCATCTTCACAATCTCCTCCATCTCCACCACCTCCTCCATCTCCACCACCTCCTCATCTCCACCGTTTTCACCATCTCCACCACCTCCTCCATCTCCTCCATCTCCACCATCTCCACCATCTCCACCATCTCCACCATCTCCTCCATCTCCACCATCTCCACCATCTCCACCATCTCCTCCATCTCCACCATCTCCTCTATCTCCACAGTGTCCTCCATCTCCTCCATCTCCTCCATCTCCACCATCTCCTCATCTCCATCATCTCCATCTCCACCATCTCCTCCATCTCCACAGTCTCCTTCATCTCCACCACCTCCTCCATCTTCACAATCTCCTCCATCTCCACCATCTCCTCATCTCCACCATTTCCACCATCTCCACCATCTCCTCCATCTCCACCACCTCTTCATCTCCACCGTTTCCACCATCTCCACCCATCCACTCCTCTTGTCTGTCTCCATGTGGGCATCAGACCACCCAACCATCCATCTGATGTCTCCTCATCCATCCACCTCTCCATCCATCCATCCATCCATCCATCCATCCATCCCTCCATCTCGTGTCCCTCCATCCATCCAACCTTCTCTGGTGTCCCTCCATCCCTCCATCCACCACATCTGATGTCTCTCCGTCCCTCCACCCATTCATCAACCAACCCATCCATCCCTGTAGACTTCAACCAACCATCTCTCCATCCACCCATGTTTGGTGTCCATCCATCCATCCATCCATCCTTGTAGACCTCAACCAACCTTCTCTCCATCCGTCCCAACATCCCTTCAACCATCTACTCATCCATCCACCCACCCAACCATCCAGCTGGTGTCCCTCCATCCATCCATCCATCCTTGTAGACCTCAACCAACCTTCTCTCCATCCGTCCCAACATCCCTTCAACCATCTACTCATCCATCCACCCACCCAACCATCCAGCTGGTGTCCCTCCATCCATCCATCCATCCTTGTAGACCTCAACCAACCTTCTCTCCATCCGTCCCAACATCCCTTCAACCATCTACTCATCCATCCACCCACCCAACCATCCAGCTGGTGTCCCTCCATCCAGCCATCCATCCATCAATCCAACCACCTCTGGTGTCCCTCCATCCATCCATCCATCCATCCATCCATCCATCATCCATCCATCTCTGGTGTCCCTCCATCCATCCATCCATCCATCCATCCATCCATCCATCCACCCACCATGTTTGATGTCCATCCATCCATCCATCCATCCATCCACCCAACCATCCTTCTGCTGTCCGTCCATTCATCCATCCATCCATCCATCCATCCATCCATCCATCCATCCATCCACCATGTTTGATGTCTCTCCATCCATCCATCCCCTTTGGTGTCCACCCAACCATCCAACCATCATGTTTGATGTCCATCCATCCATCCCTCCATCCACCCAACCATCCTTCTGGTGTTCCTCCATCCATCCATCTACCGTGTTTGATGTCTCTCCACCCAACCATCCATCTCATGTCCCTCCATCCATCCCCATTTGGTGTCCATCCATCCATCCATCCCTCCATCCACCCAACCATCCTTCTGGTGTCCATCCATCCATCCATCCATGTCTGGTGTCTCCCCATCATCCAGCCACCCAACCAGCCATCTCATGTCCCTCCATCCATCCATCCATCCATCCCCATTTGGTGTCCATCCAACCATCCAACCATCCATCCATCCACCATCTTTGATGTCTCCCCACCCAACCATCCACCATGTTTGATGTCCATCCATCCATCCATCCATGTCTGGTGTCTCCCCATCATCCAGCCACCCAACCAGCCATCTCATGTCCCTCCATCCATCCATCCATCCATCCCCATTTGGTGTCCATCCAACCATCCAACCATCCATCCATCCACCATCTTTGATGTCTCCCCACCCAACCATCCACCATGTTTGATGTCCATCCATCCATCCATCCATCCTTCTGGTGTCCCTCCATCCATCCAACCATCCATCCATCGCTCCATCCCCTTTGGTGTCCATTCATCCGTCCATCCATGTGTGGTGTCTCCCCATCATCCATCCACCCAACCATCCATTTCATGTCCCTGCATCCATCCATCCAACCATCCTTCTGGTGTCCATCCATCCATCCATTCATCCATCCACCATGCTTGATGTCTCTCCATCCATCCATCCATCCATCCATCCATGCCTCCATCTCGTGTCCCTCCATCCATCCAACCTTCTCTGGTGTCCCTCCATCCCTCCATCCACCACATCTGATGTCTCTCCGTCCCTCCACCCATTCATCAACCAACCCATCCATCCCTGTAGACTTCAACCAACCATCTCTCCATCCACCCATGTTTGGTGTCCATCCATCCATCCATCCATCCTTGTAGACCTCAACCAACCTTCTCTCCATCCGTCCCAACATCCCTTCAACCATCTACTCATCCATCCACCCACCCAACCATCCAGCTGGTGTCCCTCCATCCATCCATCCATCCATCCATCCATCCATCCA